GCGAGAGAGGGAACACAAGCAAGGGGAGTGTGAGAGGGAGAAGCAGGCTTCCCGCGAAGCAGGGAGCCCGATGCGGGGCTCGATCCCAGAACCCTGGGATCATGACCTGAGCCGAAGGCAGACGCTTAACGACTGAGCCACCCAGGCACCCCTCTAGCACACTTCTTGATAAGCAGTAAGTAGTAGCTATCTGTGATTCTAACAAAAACGTTACCACTTCTAAGAAATACATTTTTCTGGAGTTTTCTCTAGTTCTTATCCTAATGTGGTGTTTATTTCAATCAAAAATTATTATTGAAAAAGTTAAATCAGGATTTCTGCACTGTTGACATTTTGGGATGGATAAATCTTTGTGGTGGGGGCCGTCCTGTGCCTTGAAGGCTGTCTAGCAGCCTCCCTGGCTTATACGCCCGGATGCCGGGAGCCCTTCCCAGTGGTGCAGCCGGGCATCACCTTCTGTCCTGGGCAGGGAGGGCTGGGAGGGCTGGGCAGAATCACCCAGCCTTTGAGAGCCATCCTGGGGGCAGCTTGTAAATGTTGCTGTCTGTTTCCCTGAAGGAAATTTACTAATGTAATTTGAGCAGGATCCTCCTCCTTTGGAGAGAGGGACTATGTTAAGGGATTCTGTTCCACTGTGTAGTTGAACAGTGTTTGTGTAGACACTTGGGTGGCAAAGACCAGAGGAATCCAGTAATGTACGTTTTCCACAGGAGACGGGTTGTTTCTGTGAAGGCAAGGGTTTCAGGCTGCTAATCTGCACGGGCCTGGAAGGTAATAATCAGCTTTGACCTTTCGGCTTCTTTTGGCGGCCCTTTATGTCGCCCTCAGCAGAGATGGTCTGGGTGTCCTGCTGAGGAGCGATGCCTGGGCCACAGTGGAAGCAGGAGAAGGGGCTTGCGGAGGGGAGCTGCGGGGGAGGCTGGGAGGCATGGTGCCCGGGCTGCGTTCAGAGCTGTGGAGCTGTGCGGATGCATTTCTCTGATCTGCCCCCTCCGCACCCCAGCCGAGAGCCCCTGGGGCACAGTCTGCCTGCATTGGGCTCACCCCAGTGGCCGTGAGCTGTAACACAGCGAGGAGTGTGCTGGGTGAGCTGGAGCTGCTCAGACCCAGGTTCGAACCTGGGCTCTGCCATTTTCGACCTCAAGAACCCCCTCCCGTCTGTGGTCCCCTGTGTGTACTGGGTGGCGGGGGTTCGTTGCGTCTCTTGTAAGCAGCAGATAGAGTCTTATTTGAGACGCTATGAGAGAAGTTCTGGGCAGAGCTCATCCCCAGCGTGCCGCTTGGATTTCTGGCCCTGCTCTCTGCTTTTGTTGGGGATTCACATAAGGTTCCATAGTTTTTAGGGGTCTGTATAAGGAAAAACGTGAAACCATTGTTTTGAGAAAAACATCTTTAAGGCATTTTGACTTGGTGTGAATGCGTTCAACTACAATTTCTAGGCTTTGGGGATTTGATAACTTGAAAGGTGCCTTGAGCAGTGCTGAGGAAGAAATTTGCTCCTTGCTTTCTTATTTCTCTTCTTTTTTTAAAAGAAACTTTTTTTTATAAGTGGGGCGGGGAGGGAGGAGGGACAGAGGGAAAGGGAGAGAGAGAGAATGTTAAGCAGGCTCCATGCCCAGCCCAGAGCCCAACGAGGGGTTCAGCGTCCCAATCCTGAGATCATGACCTGAGTGGAAACCAAGAGTTGGAGGCTCAACCGACGGAGCCACTCAGGCGCCCCCTCCTTGCTTGCTTTTTGGAGAGGTGAGTTTGTTTACCAGCAGGGCAGATACACTTCAGAGGCACTGGGAGTGACAGGTAGTGGTGATGCTGGCTACGTGCCCTTCTGAGCGCGTTGACATGGTTGCCGGACTTGGTCTCAGCCACCGTAGGAGAGAGTATGCTGGGGTAGGTAGGCCCTGCGGGCGGGCTTGTGCATCCTCCAGGCCGCCTGCCTTCCAGGGCGTGCTCCTTCCCTGTGTGTTCTTGGGGTCTCTTGGAGCTGGGGTTCTGGATGGGAATTGGGTGCCATCAGATTCTCCCAGGAGGCAGAGGTGGGCGGAGACCATGAGGCTGTGTTCTGCCGTCCGGCGGCGTCAGGCTGTGCAGCTCTCCGGCATCGGCCCCGTGCTCATCCCCCGGCTGGTGCCAGGCTGCTCTGGTGGCTTCCCGGCCCCGCTGCCTTCCCGATTTCCGGGGTTTGAGGGGCAGCTCTGACACAGCAGCTCCCCGGGTGCGGGGGGGTGCCTGGGGGCCCGGGTT